GATTAGTTGTGAAATTTCTTTGTTTGTTACGGCAGCAAACTGCCAAGGCATTTTACTCGCAACTTACTAGGCGAATTTGACGTCGCTCCCTCGGAGGAACTGGAGGTGAATCAGTATTCACTGATTGGGTAGCCAATCAGAGCGCGCGAAAAACACATCCACTGTTTTAGTAATCTTATTTTCCCGCCAACATTGCTAGACAACCTGTGCAGTTTCCCGCCAAAAACAATCGAGGCAAAAATTGCGCAGTTCTGTTCGGAACCCAACGCTACGCATTCAGATTCCTGAATTTTACTCAATGAGAGACAAAAAAGCGTCATAGATCGAAATCATAACATGCGTTTCACCTAAAATCCAGTTTTCTAAAACAACTAAAGATACGATGTCGAACCTATTTCCCCATGATCATGATATTAACATCGTACAATACCTAAGTTTTCCTGTCCTTCTAAATCAGCATTGGCATGAAGCGGTTCTGATTCCTTGTGAGAACGCTCTCTACCAATTAATCCAAGTAAGTTTCCCAGGCCACAGCACAATTTTGATAACATCCTCAGAGGTACGGTACGCACGTTGAGTTTCTGAAGTTTCAAGTTACGCAAAGCAACCGTATTTATTCGATTAACCGCCCTGGGCGCTTATTAAATTTTTGGACCTTGAGAGTGGGCGCTTATTTGAGGTGGGCGCTTATTCGAGGCTGGGCGGTTATTAAATTTTCACCATTTTCAGCAGTTAGTGTAGTATTTTTATTTTGCAAAAAAAAAAAAACAGTAAATGCCAGTAACAAAACGTGAAGAAGTAACAAAGCAAGGTTTTCTCGGTACTCGGAAGAACACTCCGTCTTCGAGGAAGTCTCTTATTAGTACTTATTCAATTTCAATTTCAATCTCATTATCGCTCAAGTAGGTGGGGTGGGGGTGGGCGCTAATTGAGTTTGATTGGGAGGGGGAGGGGGTGGGGTGGACGCTTATTCGAGGCTGGGCGCTTATTAACTTTTTCTGCCTTTAGGATGGGCGCTTATTCGAGGTGGGCGCTAATTCGAGGTTGGGCGCTTATTCGAATAAATACGGTAATAATATAAGCCAATCCTACGTCACAATGCAAAGCGAAATTTCGACCAATCACGATTGAGAAAAGCTATCTTGCTTGAGATCGTCAGATGAATATTCTAAGCATAGTTCGCCTCAATAATAATTTTGTTTTATTCGTCGTTTTTTGTCATCGATTCGTCAAGAATTTCCTCTGCTGGTTTATCTCGACCTTCTTGATTGTATTGATGCGAAAATCTTTAAGGTAAGTGGATTTTTAGGGTTTATTTTCATGGCACTTTGCTCGACATTCCAAAATGGCTGTTCATCTTGGGGTTTTTGAGTCAAATGAGTCACGAATTACGAATGGGTTCTCAGTGTAAGGGCTCGTGTAAGGGCCCTTACACCCTTACAACTTGACACTCTCACAAATGAAAGGAGTCTGGACCCAAGTATTCGGAGAGATAGCTGATCATAAGATGTCTTCATCGTTTCTCGATAAACATTAAGACTTTTCACCCTGTTGCAAGGTTAGTTTATTGTGTGGCTAACGTACTTAACGGTACAGTGCTCCTAACAGTTAAGTCATGAAGTGTGCCGGTTTTTCGATGTGTCCATAAGTCGTTTCCATTCGTAAACAAGAAAAACATTTCACATCGCTTTGCGTGCGTGTAATTGCTCTTTCCGTTTTAAAGGCAAACCCGTTGAACGATGGGTGAACACAATATTTTTCGGTTATCCAACAAGATGGAAATAAGTGGCCGAGTATTGTTAAGTTTAGCCAAGCCAACTGCGCGAAATTATTTACACGTGGACTGAATGAACTTGTATGACAATTGCGATCCGGTATTGCGTCGACTTAGCTTGTAATATTTTTAAGACCCCAAATTTAAAAGGTTATTAGTTAAATACGCATTCGTTACATTTAAGGGACCCTCGCCTTATCTGTCCAGTAACTTCACTAAAAGTGTCTCCATCTTACAAATATTTTTGTAAGTTCAGGCGCTATATAGTTACGCTGCTCTTCTAACATGATTTCAATCACTCTCGTCAGGTGTCATCAGGATAAATCATTACGCGACTGCAAAGAAACAATTCTTGGACGTTCCTATTTGGTTAGCATGCGTGGTTACTAGCTGCAATTGAATTGTGCGGTGCTCCGACCAAGGACGTATGATTTTGAAGAAGAATTGACATTTGACGAAAGTTTTAAAATATTCCGCTCGCTCGAGCAATTCAACACCTGCACTAGCTGTCGTAGTTCCTTAACGCTTGCTTGGCAAAAGCAGATCACTACCGAAATTCCGTTTGGCAAAACAAATGGTTCACAAACCACGGACTCTCGATTCCAAAACAACAGACTCAGTAAATCTTATACAAAAACCTTGCATTTCGTGCGCAATAATACGAAAATGAACGGCGAATTTACGTCAATCCTGGTACAGCTTTTTCACATGTCGTAACACAACGGTAGTTCACGTGGATCGAAAGCGGGAAAAATTAATTGGAAAAATGATGGCTGCTCTTTTCTTCACGAATCACGACAAAGAAAAAAGCTAAACACAGTTTATGACTATAGTAGGAGAACATGCTTGAAAAAAACATTACTTCTTTCAAGATAAGCAACATCGGTGAGGATCACTACTTTTGCTCGCTGTAGAGTGAGTGATATTTCGTTCAATGTAATTTTTTCCATAAACAACCAGCTGGAAGGTTGAACATTATGTTTACTTAATTGAGAATAGTCATGGGGTTCCAGATGTTAATTTGTGGACGATTATTTTACCCCTATTGGTCTACTATATTAAAGTTTATGACAGCCAACGTCAAAAGAGTATTAGAATATGAGTCGTTGAATGGGTTTGTATTATTCCGTGAAAGGATGAATGGATGATGAAGTCATGAATATATGAAAATCATATATCAGAACTGAACCAATTCAATGATCTGCTCCCAGTTGGCTCGTTGGCTCAACTGGTAGAGCGCTTCACCGGTATCGTAGAGGTCAAAGGGTATAGCGTTGCAGTTGTGTCCTCCGTTGCAGTTTGGTCCTCTCACGTATCAACCAACAGAATGGCGTTTTATTTCTTCCAAAGTGCGTTGTGATCGTGTCTTCTTCATGTGACTTCCCAGCTAGGGGAGGGCTGTAGTATGACTTTTGTTCGTTTCGATTTCCTTAACCTGAGATCAGGCTCTATTTTCCTTTCGCTTTGAAAATAACATTCTGGCGGACAAGGCGAAACGAACGTAGAGCCTCATACAAACCTTCTACGAAACGTCTTCAGCCACTCAGTTTTTGATTGATTGACATTTGCCGAATCAGCCAACCAAACTACTTCCGTTCCTTGTTTTTTTAGTATGCAAATTTTTCATACGTGGGAAAAATGCAGACTCGCTGTCTTGAAAAATAGCTCTTATCTTTTAATTTTTTCAACTAAAAATAAAACAGTCAGCGCAATCACATTTAACTTCTTGCGACATTACATGTAAAGGAGATCTCGGAGGTTATTTCTGTTAGCGTAGAAGGTAAAAAGTTTTCGAAAAGACGGCGACACGATGGTTTAGTTTTATGTTTTGGATGGGAGCGCTCGAATTAAAAATACTGAAATATCTATTTGTCTGTTGCCTTAATATTTTCCTCGGACATTTTCCCCGATTTTCAGTACATAAATCTTTAAAGATCTTGGAGAAATATATGGCAAACTTTTTCAAAGGATATATAAATGATCTCAGAACAAACCAAACGAGTTCTCAAGTGCATTTAATGTAGCTGATTTACTCCCGTGCGTACAGCTTGCACTTTGCGAATTTACTAGAGAAACAAACGTCTAAAAAAAAACATTTTTTTTATATAAATCCAGTTAAATATTATCTGCCACTTTGGAAAAACGAACGGACACTTCTAAAACTGCATGCTCAACTGACCTATAAACAAAACGAAAAACAATATTACAAACACACTTTGTAGTTCTCCTTAGTTGTGTTGTTGCAGGTCTAAAAACTTGGCTTGCTAAATTAACAATCAGCAAACAGCTAAACGACCGAGGACACCAGTTTTCCTGGTTTGTTTTTCACAAAAAGCGAAGGCAAAAAATAAGTCTGTTACCGTAACACTAGCGCCACCAGCTTTTATGATAATGCCTACAAAAATTCCTTGAACAGCGATGCGATGTTTTTCGTCTAACACTTCACAGCTGGCGATTGAGGTTTCTTTCGCAATGAGCCTCCGCTTGCGTACCCCGTTCAGAAAAGTCATTCCCGGCTAAACTTTCAACTGAAACCACTTTTAAGATGGACAGTATTTTTGTTGGTAAATCAAAAAGCACCTCATTAGCGGTCAACAACTTAGAGAGGGATTCAACTCCGCGATACACTCACATTAGTTCAGTAAGGGAAAGTTCATTTAATATGACAAGCGGGGGGGATGAAGATATTGAAACTCGAAGCTTGAAATTTTAGCAGCCCCCCTCGCTAGCGGTTCAATTTTTTAGGAGCCCCCTCCTCGGTAGTCGAAAAAATTTCAGAGCCCCCCCCCTCCTCCTTCAATTCCTTTGCTCCCCTGAAAAAAGATCGCTAGACTGTGTTAAATATATTTACCGTTATTGTCTTCAATGGTTTATACTATGACAAACTTGAGATATCTTCATCCCCCCCTTGTCATATTAAATGAACTTTCCCTAAATAAAGCAAATCCAGCGAAAATATGAACAACCATATGAATTTTCTGAATTTCCATGGTACATATGAAGGCATATTTTCCTACCATAAGACCATAAAACAATAAAAAAGACAGCAAAATCGACCTTCGTCTCCGCCGACGGCGGATCATTCACGAAAACAACCACGCGAGGAAGAAGCGCTTTCAACTTCCGGCGTTTCCGACAGCCAATCAGATCTTGTAGCATTGTTATAACAGCCAATCAGCGTTACGGCCAAAATCTGGCCCTAACGAGCAGCCGTTAGAGAGAATGTATGAGAACCGCTGAAATTGGGCCTTATCTCATGTGTATGAAGCAGTTTTTTGAAGCGTTTTCCCCGATGGGTTTTTGGAGAATTTTACAGAAGTTTGAAGTATGTTCGAAACTTTCCTCGGTCAACGCATATGTTCATATGTTGGAGAGCTAGAAAGCCTGGGACAAGGATGAAAGCACAAGTGCCCAAATAAAGAGTTCGAAGAAGGACAGAAACAAGAAGATCCAGAAGAAGATTCGAAGTGATGCAATGATTTTTGAGTTTCTGAGGTAAGGTGTTCAACGGGCGCGATCCATTCAACCAAAATTCCAACCGGTCCGACCGGGAAAAGTGGTCCACCTCAAAAGGTGGACCAGTTTTTTCGAAACTTTTCCGGTTGGACCGAACCAGGGGGGGGCCCACGACTTAGCGAAATTTCGTGTACCTATGATCCACCGATTTATGACATCACATCCGGTTGCAAAGTTGCTGCTCTGTTTTCGCGCGAGGCACAAAGATGGACGCCCGATGCTATTTGGTTTCCTCGTTATTTTTACCCACAGGCTAACGGAATTATGTATCTTGAATGCCGAGAATGTTAAGAAGGTATATAGCCGGCCTTTCAAGCAAATGTCATGACCAAACAAAGAAGTTTTAGTATTATTTTAACGATAAATATGATGCAGCTGCGAGGAATGTCATGGCGAGTCTTGCGATGTTTCAAAACGAGTGTCGTTAACGTTTTGCGGCTGTTGCGGCCTCTGATTTAGAGAAGTCATCAATCAAAATATAATTTCCTAAGCGGAATAGAATGGGGAAAACGCCGATGGCCACAGTTTAAAGTGTTCACCGCTGGAAGGCTGTATCACGCCCCGTAAAGTTGCAGAAACTTCCACTCAACTGCATGGTTTTGAGGAATGTCATGGCGAGTCTTTCGCTGTTTGTAATCGAACGTCACTTAAGAGTTTGGCTTTTGCGGCTTCTGATTCATCAAAGTGATCAATCGAAATTGCCTATCCTGAGCGAAATTCCTTGGAGAAAAAGCTTATAGTCACAGTTTAAAGTGTTAACAGCTGGAAGGCTTTATAAACTCGACGTGAAGTTGCTGCAAGGGCTCAGTCTTCTGCTGTTCGAAGACCCTCTGGCATGATGTCGCATAGTTAAGGTTAGTAGGTTTGCTGATTTTTCTTTTAGTGCACGTGAGAGAATTACAAGGAGCGTAGAGTAAAGAAATATTAGAGTTATTCAATGTTAGAGCGTGAGCTTTTAATAGTTAAGAGAATTAGATAATTTTTTAAATGGTTGATGAAAGGGGAATTCTTAAATAACAGGTGGTACTATTAGAAAAGGGCAGTAAAACATCCTAAAGAACTACCCTTTTTCTCACAGCACTTTCTACTGGATCTCTAAAACTGTATTTTACTGTGTAGAAAACACAAAATGGAAAAAATGTGACAGAGAATAGATCGTTTGCTTTGGGAGGTGGTGCTCCAAGAGAGGTGGAGATGAAGGTGAAGAAGAACAATATTAAAACACAAACAATAATCTTGTTGATCAATTATTACTACTAGTAGCCTTTTTTGATTACGATAGCGTATCAGAAAGATACCACATGCCTGCATTTACTGTGATCATAATTTATTGTTTTAGAGGGAGGAATGCAAGGTTTTTGCTAAGGGGATTTCAGGGGTGGTAACAGCACACCTAAGGCTGTATGACAGAGTGCATTGTTGCTTATTGGGGATTGTGAAACTTAATGACAGCAAACTTAATTTGCACAGATAAGCAAAATTGCATTGCCAGTTATTTTCTCTCTGTGTGGTAGGGGATAGACAGTTCAATATTACATGTGAAGGACTGGAAGTATATCTTTTGCCAATTTTCCCTTGCTGAGCCTTAAAATCTATGTTGTAAGACAGTTTTGCATAAGGGATATTTGCATTGTTTGAAAAGTTGTAAGGAGAGGGGGTCTTCATGGCCAAAACAAACAAAAAGTATGTTATATGAAACTTGAATGAAATTTCTACTTGGTAGGGAGTTGTTGGGAGAAAATGGCCTCCCTGGAAAAGGGAAGGATATTTTTTGTTCTGTAACATGAAAATTTCATCTTAAGACTTGCTTTGTTACTAGAAACAATACATGTAAGCGATTGAACCAAAATTTGAAGGATACTGCATTAATTCACTTCAGTAGAATGGTTTTTCTGTTTCCTAATAACAATGTTTTTACTCTGTAACTTTTTAATAAGGTTGACAGTGGTCTTCTTAGTTCAAACCTTTTTAGGACAAACAGTCACCCAGTGCAGCTTTGAGTGAGTCATACATGGACAGTATTTTTATTTTTCTGCTTTATACTTCAATTTAAATTTTTCCTGTGTTTTTGGGTATGAAAATGTATGATAATGAGCATGACAGAAAGGAAACTAAAATTATCCAGGGATAAAATTGAACCATAATAATAATGATATACAGCTGTGTATAATTAGTATGTATACAACAGTTTTTCTTCTAGTGTTAAAGGAAATACTGAAATTTTATTCACCTACTTTATTTGATTGATCAATGATATTATTATTGTTCTAAAAAAAGAAACATCCAAATATTTTCAATAAATTAGATGTATGAATTTTAGAAACGTGCAAACCAGCCCTGAGACATTCAAGCTGTATTTATTTCCTTTTTCCAAAAAAATATCCACATTCCTTGTTTTTGACTAACGTCCTTTAATCCTGTATTTGGCTCAAAATCTTAATGCTTAGATTCACAATGCATTTTTGATTCTTTTCCAGTATCTACTGAAAAATACAGTCAGATATATACCATCTCTTCTTAGTTGTATCCTTGACAACAGGCTTTCAATGCAATGTCCAAGTTGTTTTAACACACAATCCCCCAACAAGTGAAGGTCTAGGAAATATTGGGTAAATGTAGATAATTATAAACATCTTTTTTGTGTCAAAAGTGTTTACACTCCTATTTCAATCTTCGAATGACTTGATTTGTATAAAAGAGTGTTTTTTATTGTTCAGTAGCTCTAGGCTCAAGTTCATATCTTGATCCCACATACTGATGTATCTTCAGTTTTAAACAGAGGTTTCAGTGGTTTCAGAACAAGCTAGTACTCCTGCTGGAGTTCCATCCTCCCAGTCTCCAGATTCGGCCACCTACTTTAAAACATTTTGAAACCCCTTAAGTTTATGTACTGACGGTGAGCTAGTATAATTTTACAAAGGAACCCTATCAAAGGATCAGAAAGGCAAGCCAAGTAGTGTATGATAAAGACTGATCATCTCAAAACCCACTCCCTATTCCATGGCACATACCTGTATAGAAGTACCATAACCTTCTCCCTGGGTGTTAAAGTAACAGTAAAGAGGGGTTTCAGGTGTAGCCTCTTGTCTTTGTTTTATTTTTCTGATTTGCTACAACCTTTGCTCCTCTGTAGGGAAAGATGGTTTGGCAAGAGAAAAGCAGAAGACAGTTTGATCAAAGGATTTATTAATTCACATTTTGCTATTCCATCTGTTAAGAGGATTTTCTAAACAGATCATTTAAATAGTCTGGAATTTATTAAAGATGAAAATAAAAATACATGGTGTTCTTGTGGTTCGTTTAAAAGACAGCCTTAAATAAATTGCAGGGCTGAAAAATGGAGTTGTAAATAAGCTCATCTGGCTATGTTAATTTTTGATCATCTTTTTTCCATCAAATTTAATTACTAGTAAAAACCTGCAACTAAGAACCTGTATTTTCCCAAGTTAGCCTAAACAAGTCAGGTTCTTACAGAAAAACTAATAAGCACAGATTTAGTTTATTTAGGTTCAGTCTCAAATAGGTCCTTATTTTCTGAAAAAAAAAATACTTTGTAGCTTTGAGCTAAAAGTATTTAGTGGCATTCAGCTCTTTCCTTAGTATATGTAAAACCTGTATGCCATCACACTGCAGTCGGAGTAATAATAAATATTATTAGACACCTATGTCTCAAAAGAGGACACTGAATGTTGACTTATCTTACTTTCCCACGTGTACACTGTGCAGAAGTTTTTTCTAAGAGATTTTATAAATAATGGTAATAGGACTGAGGGGAGTCCAATTCAGTCTGTAATCATACAAGTGTTACAAACTTGAACAACCGCGAAGCAGGAGTCAGATTTGTTTAATCGTGAGTGTGATTACAGTTTAAATTGGACGACACAAAGTCCTGTTACCAGTTAATTATAACCGTTACAAATTCCAAGAAAATAGATGCATTCCTTTTTGGTGAAAGAGTGTTTGTTCATACCAAATGTCCAAAATAAGGGAAAATATCACTGGTCGAGACACTGCCTAAATGTTGCATATTCATCCATTTTGGATTAATCCCCAGTTTGTTTGGGTAAGTGATTGTTGCTATGGTTATCGTGATAACTTCTGTGATTGGTGGATTTAGCTGAGTGCATTTAATATGATTGGCTAACATAACTGTCCGATTACAGGCAACTATAAACAATGATTAAAGAAAAATAAAGCAGTTAATACACCAATCAAATTTGAGGAAAATGTAATGGTTATGATCAATAACCTGTTTCAAATTTGAGTGCTCTTTTATAAAGACAGCCTAACTGGAAAATTTTAGCCTGACAGGTTCTTATAAACCAGTTTCTTAGTTGTGGATTTTTCCTGTATCCTTGTTGAGCTTAATACTGCACATCACTATGCTGGGTGTCAGCCAATCCCTTTTTTGTTTCTCCATGTCAATGAGGTCAGATAGGGTTTTACATTTATTTTGGTCTTCTAGACCATGGTGCCTTTAATAGAAAGCTTTCTTCTCCTAATCAGGATCATATTAACAATCCTTTACCCTGACTGATTAATCAAGGGATGAAGAACACTGAGGGATGAAGTTGTCATAACACAACCACCAACTCCTTTCCACAGGAGGAACAGAATGCTTAGGGATGGAAAATTAAATAAACATGAGAAACTGATTGAAGTATAGAGAGTATTCACATGATGTCACGGTGGCCATATTGGTGTCCCAAAACAATGAAACAGAGACCATGTTGGTGTCCCAAACTAATAAGCCACGTGAGTGAATACTCTATTAAATTCAAGGTTAGTTTTGTTTCCTATAGTTGCATCTAGGGTGTTTACCTTCTTATCTCCAAGGGAAATATGTGCAGCACAGCCTCCCCCCCCTCCAGAAACCTTGATTTCTTCAAAGCTGCTTAGTGCAAGATCATTAGTTTCAGTCTTTCCTGTGAAGTTTTTTAAGTCTTACAAAAAAAACTACCGTTAACACAGTCGTCTAGTTAAACTTTGCTGATCCCTGACAAGAAAGTGAATGTCAGGGAAACAGACACTTAGCCTTGAGGTCCTTAAAAGAGAGTTGGCATGTAAAGTCAGGAGATGTCTTACCAAGGACGAGCTTCGAAGCACACTACTGTACACTGGCCTAGACACTGTCAGAGGATTCCACCTAAACAGAATTGACATCCTGAACCAGCTCAACATGATTTCAGTGTCTTCTGTTGCTGCAGATTTTCCGTAAACCAGAAAAGTGTATTCCTCGAAATGTCAGCATTCTTCCTTCCTTTTAAGAGTGGTTGTCAGAGAAAACCGGGCAAAATGTTAAAAATGTCAACGGAAGGGGGTCAACAGAATAAGTTCATACTAACATCATAGATAGGTCTGGTGGAGTAATGGACAAATATACCAAACATAGGTTCTTCACTGCCCTTGTATTAGAGATACGAGCATCACTTTATTCGACCCCCTCGGACGCCATTTTTATAAGCAAATTTTCACCATTTTCTGAAACTCACAGAACCCTCAAAATTTAACGAGCGAAGTTTATTTTTTGTATGCGATTCAACACATCACAGAACTACTTTCTAAAACCATAAGATTTGTTAAGCATCCACGGACAAGACTAAAATTTTCTTATTTTATCTGACCTAAACTCAGTGTCTGCAAACGAGCAAAAAATCGGGCATATTTGAATTGATCTACAGCGCACAACTAAAACGACAGAACAACGCTGGCAGCCAAATTGCAGTCTACTATCATCCATGTTACCAAAACACTAATAATCATTTTGGGCCATTGAAACAGGAAGAAATTAGAACACTCACATTTGTTATAGTTTCCAAGCTTTTTCTTGTAAACAGGCCGATCCCTTCGTGTTAGTTTTAAGTCCTCTTCGTGAATTTTCCTTCACATGTCGCTGTAAAGTATGTTCAGCAGCTGAAGGACATATCAAAAAGCTCGAAATACTGCCTAGGTTACATTTTGAAAGGGCAAAAAGTGCTGAACGATAGGATGAAACTAGAAAATAACAAAGCGACGCCATCTTGAAAATTCAGCACTCAGGAGAGACTGGCACTAGTAGCTGCCTTGTCCACAAGTGAATTACCAAACAAATAAAAAGCAAAAACAAACAAACCGGCTTATCAGCGACCTATTACAGTCCTATTTCTTCTTCAGTTACAGTGAAACCTGTATTAAGCGGACACTCTCGGGGAATGCTGTGGTGTTCGCTTAATACAGGGTGTCCGCCTAATACAGGTTTCGATATATAACGTCATATGAGGTGTCAAATGCCATTCAAACGAACAGTGGAAGCTTTTATAATACTCCCAGAGCTCTCCCAGAGACTATGACGATAGACATTTGCATTAATTTCTTTATCAAAGTGAACCAATTGATCATAGTACCATAAACATCGATTGCAACTCAAATTTGAAGAAATCAGATGAGTGAAACAAGCTCTATACAAACAAAACGAAATAGGAAACAATCCTGTACTGTGGAACTAATGACATAAGTTCGTTAAGTCACGAAATCGAAAAATTTGTGGGTGGCAATTCGAGGCAATCATTCGCATTTCCGGTGTCTGGCGTGTTGGGTGGTGGAATTTAATTACAAGTGTCCGTTTAATACAGGTTGGCAACAATAGAAATGACCATTTCGGGTACTTTTTAGGTGTCCGCGTCCGCTTAATGGAGGTGTCCGCTTAATAAAGGTTTCATTTAAAGTAAATAAGAGAAATAAATTTGGGGACTTCGGCTACTGTCCGCTTAATAGAGGATGTCCGCTTAATACGGTGTCCGCTTAATACAGGTTTCACTGTACTACTTTTAGTTAAATTGTATAGTCGTTTTTTTTTTCGGCGGAGTGATGGGGTGTGGTGAACAGGTGACCAATTGACATTACTTTATTCAGTCTTCATCTGCTCTTCATTCACTTCATTTTGAGTTATCCCATTTAAGTCTTCGCGTTTCTTTGGACTCTTTATTGTATCATTTATTTTTGCGTCAGTCTTCAATCACTGTGCATGTCCGATAAGGTCCACTCATCTCCTGTTCATGATTTCATGATGCACAGTTTCATAGTCCGGAAGGCTTCGCCCGAAGGGTACCTCTTTCAAGCATCAGGTGTATCAAAGGGTAGCTAGGCAAGTTGAAGTATGTGACAGAAGAGGAAAATCTTTGATTAAGTATTTTAAAGAGCCTATTATTAAAATGGTTCGAAGAAACACGCCTTATGGCAATATCATTTACATGTTAAGGTTATTCGAAAATGACCGGAAGACCTCCTGCTTACCGATTTATTCTCACGAAGCAGATATAAAGGGTACAACTTTTTAATGGAAGATACACGAAAGGGGTACCTTTTGTCAAAAATAGTATATTTAAGGGTAAGCGACTGGACCTCGGGGCGAAGCCTTTCCGAACAAAGCTTTATTGAGTAGCCTACACCCCCCCCCCCCCCTTCTCCCTAAAGCTTTCCACAAGTTGCTCGCCAACTTTTTCGCAACTTGTAGTATTTCGAGCAACTTTTTACATAATTTCTGAGCAATTTCTCTTACTAGTTTTCTTCCAATTCTGTTCCTCTGTGCCCACTGTTCCTCTGTGCCCACTGTATTCTTCGGTGTATGAATGATTAATTATTTCAACTCTCGATATATGAATGATTAACGATTTCAACTTTCGGTATATGAGGAACAACCCCAATTCTGAGCAGATTTTAGTGCTTAAAGTGGCCTTGCTTCCATATTGCACAATGTTTTAGTAGACAATTTATGAATTTCCTATGAAAAAGGAGCCAGATCCTCAACCCTTGGGGGTAGATGATGGGCGCAAGATGCAGCCGGGCTGCTAGGTCAGAGGTTTTTTTGAACAAAATTCAAAATGGCGGACGTCGATTCACACTTGACTGACACGAGTGTCTGAGGTGAAGAAGGTCATTCAACAGTTTTAATGGATCATACTGGAATTTTTACAAGATTAATATTAATATTGATGTGTAGTCTTTACTCATACATTTTTTTAAAATTGTGGTTTACGGACTCCTGATGGCGGACAGAGTTATCTAGCAACGCTAATTACGCTGAAAAATTGCACAAAATTACATTTTTATACTCTACCAGGAGCCATAGATATATATTTAAGTCGGGGTAGTAGACCGTAACTGGATACTTTTTCCAGGGATGGGGCTGACCTCATCGAAATATATATCATAGCCATTAAATGTACTATTTTTAGCACATTTTGTGCTTTCTTGTGTGACTCGCGCGCGCATTTTTTGCAACAGCGCCGTGGAAAGGATTAACAAACGAAATGCCGTTGGAAATTACCTCCGTACGGCAGATGAATAAATTCCGTTTCTGTCATCATTGCCTCCTCTGAATTTAAGGCAAGACCTTGACAATTACTCTAAATGTGAGGACTGTGAACATTATTCTGCTTGTGTTAAACACCATAGTGAGAGTGTTTTTGACAAATCTAGTGACGAAGAGATGTAGGAGATGTCAAAACTCGGGTTAACACTCAGACCCCTTTTAATAATTTTTGAACTGCCAAAAACTTGCATGGATCCGCCTTTTCTTTACATGCGACCCGCGGAACCGTAAAGTTTTTGAGCTTCAAATAGAATTGCAATCTATGGAGAATTTGCACGTTCCCTCTAAACAGGTTGCACGGGTAAAAAATTCATCCGAACCCGTGGCGTTTAGCTTGTGTGGACCGTGCAAAGAGCATACTGAAAAAGAAGTGAGCAGGAAAAACAATGAGGGGAAGGGGTACGGAGTGAGAGCCGTAGGAACTCTTGTAATGGTACTTTTAAACGAAAGCTCCTTCCGGATCCTTCCGGTAAACCAGATTCTGGTAAACCCTTTGAATGGTTTATTTTGACAGCTCTTGTCAACAGTCTATTACCTTATGGAAATGCGAAGTGATAGCGATGAGATCATCAGTTAGAAGGCTTACTTTCAAACCCGGGGAGGACTCCGCATACGGTTCCGCGGAGAAGTTTTGCCTTTCAAGGGGCTCTATTTTACAATACTTTACCTTGACATTTGAGAAATTTAATTTCTAGGTTTCTTTTAAAGAGTAATTTAAAAGAGTTTTTCAATAGTATTCCATAATTCACAACTCTTTTCAGCCTTATAAGTCAATAATTTTTACAGATTTTGAATTTTGAATCTTAAATTTCGTAGTGTTATTTTATTTTCCTCTTTCGATTTTCTTTTTAGTTTTTAGCTATTTATGAGATAATTACAGGACCCTTTTGATAACAGCTCTTTTTATTAGAACTGATAGGTTATCCTGTATAAATATTCGCGTTATTATTACAGTCTCAGGTGTGTATCGTAGGATTCAGTAAATTGATGCTCGTCGCAAATTTTGAATTAAACCCCTAAAGGAGACCGATCTGGGCGTGGCCCAAGCTTTTTTTGATCCCTAAAAGAGACCATGTTGAAACACAGACAAATGAGAAGACTTGGATGATTTGAATGGAGTAAATAAAACGAATTAAAAATATACATATCAAATATATATTTTATCTTTTTTCGCGTGCTACCCTAAACGAGACCTTCACGGCTAAATATGATGGCGTTTTGCCCAGAACACCCTAAATGAGACCAAAATCCGAAATTTACACCCCTAAGCGAGACGACGAGCATCCCCACCACTTTCATATGCGGAGTGCCAAACCTCCCTCCCCGCTGTCTTGGCCGCTTTGCGGCGTAAAATGCCCGCTCCGCACGCTGATTCAACTGTTTATTTTATGTGATAAAAATTATTGCAAATTTTACAGCAAGCAATATCCACTGCCCGTAGTTAGCTCGCTCGCTTAGAAACTCGCGAGGTTGATATATAGCAAGTCTAGCTAGCTTCCATAAGAGTGAAGTTAAGTGATTCATAAAGAGACAAAATAGATCTTTAATATTATCTACATTCACGGGACACCTCGAAATGAGGAGGGAATGAAGCAATGCCAGTTAATCACCAATTAGCCTGCGATCAGGCGTTCTTCTTCTTTTTTCCTTTGAAAGAAAAACAAGCTAAATTCAACTTAAAGAAGTAATTGAAGAAGAAATAAGACTGGAGTAGGTCGCTGATAAGCTGGTTTATTTGTTTTTTGTTTTTTATCTTACTGGTAATTACAGGAGCCCATAAGCTCCTGGTAATAGTTCGTAATAGCCAACGTTCGATAAAGAAACTTCTTATATGAATCCAAGGCTTTCTGGTTACATTTCTGTATTAGGTTTGGTTTTCTATGTGCTTAGTCGATGTTTTTTACAGATTTTGATTTTTAAATCTTAGATTTCTTAGTGTTATTTTATTTTATTTTCCTTTTTTGATTTTCTTCTTTATTTTTTAGCTATTTATGAGATAATTACAGGACCCTTTTGATAACAGTTCTTTTTATCAGAACTGATAGGTTATCCTGTATACATATACGCGTTATTATTATTATTATTATTATTATTATTATTATTAACTCTCTTTTGGGAATTACGAGACAATTGAGTCGTGAAAAATTCGCAATTTTTGTCCTCACAAGATATTGAACGCAGCTACTAGTGCCAGTCCCTCCTGAGTGCTGAATTTTCAAGATGGCGTCGCTTTGTTATTTTCTAGTTTCATCCTATCGTTCAGCACTTTTTGCCCTTTCAAAATGTTACCTAGGCAGTATTTCGAGCTTTTTGATATGTCCTCCAGCTTCTGAACATACTTTACAGCGAAATATGAAGGAAAATTCACGAAGAGGACTTAAAACAAACACGAAGGGATCGGCCTGTTTACAAGAAAAAGCTTGGAAACTATAACAAATGTGAGTTTTCTAATTTCTTCCTGTTTCAATGGCCCAAAATGATTATTAGTGTTTTGGTTACATGGATGATAGTAGACTGCAATTTGGCTGTCAGCGTTGTTCTGTCGTTTTAGTTGTGCGCTGTAGATCAATTCAAAAATGCCCGATTTTTTGCTCGTTTGCAGACACTGAGTTTAGGTCAGATAAAATAAGAAAATTTTAGTCTTGTCCGTGGATGCTTAACAAATCTTATGGTTTTAGAAAGTAGTTCTGTGATGTGTTGTATCGCATACAAAAAATAAACTTCGCTCGTTAAATTTGGAAGGTTCTGTGAGTTTCAGAAAATGGTGAAAATTTGCTTATAAAAATGGCGTCCGAGGGGGTCGAATAACGTGATGCTCGTATCTCTAATACAAGAGCAGTGAAGAACCTATGTTTGTTATATTTGTCCATTACTCGACCAGACCTATCTATGATGTTAGTATGAACTTATTCTGTTGACCCCCTTCCGTTGACATTTTTAACATTTTGCCCTGTTTTCTCTGACAACCACTCTTAACTTATTTGACAGTGAGTTGTACTTAACATTAATGTTTTGTGGCTCTGTAACAACATTTCTGTCCTGATGGACTTTCACCTCTATTTACGAGTTGTGTGGTAGATATACTTTTTAATACTTCTTAATATTCTCTTGTTTGTGCTCTTCTGTCATCTATTTTTGTCTTCCCAGCTAAGCAAAATAAAATACATAATTTAAACATTAATGCCCAGAGGACTAACCTGTGCCACAGACAGAACTAAACTTCTGGTTAAGTCCCCCTGTGAGACAGCACTGAAATCCTGCTTCTGGGCACCCCGTGGCCCACCTGTGAACTAGCACTTGCATATGTGCTATGATTGGCCTCTTAAAAATACCATTGTCAGTGTGCCAATCAGGTTGAAGGGAATATCGAAACACATTCGGATTGGCAGCCCAGAATATTGGCACGGCTTTGCAGATGTTACTAACTGGCAAAAGATTATGTCTGCGACACAGGCTACACCGACAACCAGACTTACAGTGTAGGATTTAAATATATATTGTTTATAAATTCAAAAGTAAGCATATATTGAAGTCTTTAAAAATACACAAAATTTATTTTTTATACCTTAGATAATCGTCAGATAAAATAAGGTGCAGTACAGCATTATGAATGACCCTAGCTAACTGACACTTAATTCATAATAATTACCAAGCCAAAATATGTGTTTTGCTCCAGGAAACTTCTAATGTGTTCTAAAGTAACTAGACCTCTTATTGAGTCTCATTTTACAGCTCTAGTGATCCCTTCAGAACTTCAAACCTCTAAAACAGTTGAAACAGCTGTTTTCTTTTTTCACTTTAATTACATTCTTTCTTAATTTACTAATTAATTGCATAACTATAATCACTGTAAATCGTGGTTTTTTTTTTCAACTGTAAAGGTCAAGAACCAATCCACACATGTTCGGGAGCGATACATTTTTAAATAAGTGTTGTAGTTATCAGTTAAGATAAGGAGTAATTTCAAACTAGTCATTTTAACAATATGACTAGTAGTGCATAAGGGTTTCTTTTCATGTATGTTACACTTGCAAGCTTAGAAAAAAAGGAAGGGCACAAACTTTCTTGATTTCTCTCAGATAATGGCAAATTGGACTACTTTTGGGCTTAACTCTTGTTCTAAACATAAATCTTCAAAGGCTAAAAACTCTTTAAATGCTAAAAATCCAACACTAACCTTCCAGAAGCTCGCAACATGTGACCGTTTCGAAATCAGTTGAGTAGAGCTTTCAGCAACTTTACGTCAACTGGCAAAGCCTTCCAGCTGTTAACACAGAAACTGTGACCATAGGCTTTTTCTCCACGCTACTTCGCTCAGGATAGGGTATTTTGATTGATGACTTCGGTGAATCAGAAGATTCAAAAGCTAAAATCTTGAGTGACGCTCGATTAGACACAGAGAAAGACTCACCATTACATTGCTCAAACCGTACAGTCGAGAAGAGCTTTGAGCAACTTTACGACGAGTGATAAAGCCTTCCAGCAATCAACACTTTAAACTGTGACTATCAGCTTTTTCTCCATTCTATTCCACTCAGGATAGGCTATTTTGTTTGACAATCTCGGTAAATCAGAAGCTACAACAGCCAACCCTTTGAGCGGACACTCGTTTTGAAACAGCGAAAGACTCGCCATGACAGGACAGTTGGGTAGAGCTTTCAGCAACTTTACGTCCAGTGATAACGCCTTCAAGCAGTTGACACTTTAAACTATGACCACCGGCGTTTTGCTCATTCCATTCCGCTCAGGATAGGCAATTTTGATTGATGACTTCGATGAATCAGAAGCCGCAAAAGCCAAACTCTTGAGTGACGCTCGATTACAAAGAGCGAAAGACTCGCCATGACATTCCTCAAAACCAGGCAGTTGAGTAGAAGATTTTGCAACTTTACGGGGCGTGATACAGCCTTCCAGCGGTGAACACTTTAAACTGTGGCCATCGGCGTTTTCCCCTTTCTTTTCCGCTCAGGAAATTATATTTTGTTTGATGACTTCTCTAAATCAGACGCCGCAAAAGCCGCAAAACGTTAACGACACTCGTTTTGAAACATCGTAAGACTCGCCATGACATTCCCCGCAGTTGCATGATATTTATCGTTAAAATAATACTAAAACTTCTTTGTTTGGTCATGACATTTGCTTGAAAGGCCGGCTAGATACCTTCTCAACATTCTCAGCATTCAAGATACATAATTCCGTTAGCCTGTGGGTTAAAATAACGAGAAAACCAAATGGCATCGGGCGTCCATCTTGGTGCTTCGTGCGAAAACAGAGCAGCAACTCTGCAACCGGATGTGATGTCATAAATCGGTGGATCATAGGTACACGAAACAAGTACTAGGCGCTATTGGAGTCGTGGGCCCCCCCCTGGACCGAACCGATCCATTGAGTTTTGGACCGAAATTTCCGGAAGTTTTGGTTTAATGGATCGCGCCCGTTATTTGCAGTTCTTTCAAAAGGCTTTTTTATATAAAGGATTAGAGTCATAGTACAGATGAGCTCAAGCTAAGCTAGGCTAGCTGTTTTTATAGATCTTGGAAGTTGTGAGCTTTTTTGATTTTGCTGCAAATGGTAAGTTAACTTACCGAACCGGGCATGTAAAAAATGACCGTAACAAGACAAAAAAATGAAGCATTGTTCATGGGGATTTTGAAGCCTTCCTTTAGAAAATAATTTATAAACACTTGATTTTAGAAAATGAGAACCTGTATATTTGTATGAGGGCCCTCAAATTAGCAAATTTAGGGATTAGTGCAGTCATTCAGGCAGCCGACTGCATGACTCCCTGAAAGTGTCTAACAATGTGGAAATTCACTGTGGATGTATTGTGCTTTTGATTAGGAAGATGACGCTGTTAGACGTTTTTGGATCAAAATTCTGCAAGAAATGTGAGTGCAGTTTAGCCTAATTTCAATTTTTTATTCGGTCAACTCTCTAAGATAGACACCTCTGAGATCAGAAAAAAAAGGGGTCTGTCTTAAAGGAGCTGGGTCACGAAATTCAGCCAAATTAGGAAACTACAAAATGCTCGTTAAAACTTTAAAGGAAGGTTAATATAACGTAACAGAAACAACAGATGCCACGGATGGGCACAACTGAAGAAGATTGAAACGGATTGAAATTAGGGTTTTTGAAAACTGTTCAGCCTAACAGTTTTTCAAAGTTGATCCCTGCTGCTTGCAACTTCAAAAATAATGCTCAGGAGACATATTTGTTTGTCACGGATCTCTGAATTTGTCATTTACATGTAATTTCTTTGCTTACTTTAAGTTCTATAGCGATTGAGGGGAGTGATTGGCAAAATTAAACAAAATGAACTGGACTGCCGTGACACAGCCCCTTTAAAGAGATGTCTGGGAGTAAAGCAGAGCAGGGACCAGCTCTAGGTGTCCAATTTATGGTGTAGAGAGATGTCTGTTAAGGGATTTTGTATTTTAAAATAAAGCATGAGTGCTACAGTAGTCTTACAATATTGTAGAAAGAGGCCTTTTTGTGGGTGTGAGGGTACATATGTCCCTATTCAATTTACTGAATTGACTGAATTTTTTGCATTTTTGCATAACTTTCAGTATTCAGCCCATCGTTAATTGTGTTTGATATCATTTAGTCTTCTGTTGCTGTTTCAAGGCGAGGTTGCTTATAAAAATTTTACCCTATCAGAGCCTCTAGAAGGTGGGCTATTCCAATATTACAGATAAAATGTTAACCTACAAAGAAATACTGATACCAGTGGGGTTAATGTTTTCATACTCACACATTGAATACGTTGTGGCCCGCTTAAGGCAGCACACAGAAACTTTTGGTATACAGCTAAACCCCATGACTCAGAACCTGGATTTTAAGAGCCTGTTAGGCCGAAAATGAGCCAGTTAAGGCCCCCCCTATATAAGAACCTGTTTAGCCTAAAATTTGAAACAGGTTCTTATCTTCTAAAATCTATGGAAAAAATTCTGTACACTTAGGTAAATATCAGATTAGTCAACATTCAGAATGCTCTTTGGAGACATAGGTGCCTTGTCACTCCAACTGAAATTTATATGCCAATGACGTCAATGCTTTAGTTCCTCTTTTTAATTTATAGTCATTTTTACATAACTTCTAATTTGGTATGCAGTTTTTTTTTCCTGGGAGAGGGTGTCTGTACAAAGTGTCAAGGCCACCACATTGTCACTGCATGAGCATTGTGTGACATAGCATCTCATGTAAGAGTTAAACAAACTTATCTGAACATTGTACCCTTTTGAAAGACTTTCGTAACAAGAAAAATGAGTACCATTTTTAAATCGGGGCTGTAACTTTTCAAATTCCACCATTATGAATAAAAGAAAGTAAGTAAGCCATTCTAAGCAGGAAACAATAAGCGCACGCACCCCTCCTCCAATCCTTCTGCCCCCCAAAATAAAGTGTTACAGTATTACGTGACTGATTTGACCTAACCAGAAATTCCAAAAATATTGTCGTTCTACAGGTCATAAAACGCCGTTAACAAGCAGTACATTTCTCAATTCTGGTTCTTAAAACTAACAAGGCAAATTAAATTTAAGTTTCATTTTTGTCTGATATTGCATGTAAAGCCTTTCTTCTTTCTTTCTTTCTTTCTTTCTTTCTTTTATAGGCAGTGTGAAAAGAGGCAAATAAAAAGAACTTTGATCCATTATGTAGTTTCAGGTTGATTATCAAACTATTATTAAAATAATGAAGCAGCTGTGCATGCTGAAGACCTTACACAAAATAATGTACTCATACAGTGTATAACAAAAATCTACACTGCTTGGTTTGGTCTGTTTTATGAAGAATAGTGCACTGCGAGGGTACCACATTTTAGCTGAATTATATATGCTAAAATGTAGATTTTTCAATAGGTGAGTTAGATAGAATTCACTCTCCCTCCCTGGTTAAATATCCAGTATTAAATACCTTTATTATTCTCAGCTTTTTTCTGCAAAAATTTGTCTCATTTTTTTTTCTGTAACCTAGCCTCCCTCACAGTATTTGTAGGGGAATTGTACAGTATATCCTCCCTTCCCACAAAATGTCTGCTTAACCGACATCAACATTTCTAATTTCCATGTGGTACATGTAACCAATCAACAGTGAGAGGTATTATCTTTAATTTTTCCAAACTTCTGCCTTAAGAGCTGTGGGCACTGTGTAGTGAGTAAAAAGCAATTTATTACTCTGCTAAGTGTGACAAACTCCTTTGTTCAACTTTAATTTTGTATGTTTCCTTTCTTTAAAGTGGAATTATATTAACAGGAATTCTGCCAAATTTCATCAGATTCTAATGAGTAGATTTTGATATTTTGTCATTTGTTAACATAGCCTATGAAAGTCAACAAGAGTATATGTACAATATGCCCAAAACTTGTGCAAGCACTGAGATCACCATGTGATATGAGAAAGTGATGAAAACTGAATAAATTTGTTCTGACAATTTCTGGGCATTTTTCGCAGCTGGCCCTCAATTTTTTTCTTGAAAATCCCATTAGCTTCAATGTTCTCTTGATAAAGATGTATCAGGGAGTCTTTTAGTGGATGCAGCTTTATGTAATAGAAAGTGCATGTGTTCAACTTCCTGTACTAAAAGCTTCAAAAAACTCTAACAAATTGGGAAAAAAAATAATAGAATCCATCAGTAAGGAGATCTGTGCAATTCACTAAGAATAAAGTTGTTGAGATTGGACGGGAAACATACAATTCACAAGACAAAGCAACCTTCAACGGCAAAGTCTTGACACATGGGCTTCTTATACTTCTTAATATAATACTGTTCAGAATTAAATGCAGACTTCTGCCAATTGCTGCTTTGTCCTGATAGCACAAACTCACATCTTGTCAATGATTATTTATTGTGAGGATATCTTTGTTCATTTGTATACTACTGTACACACTCTCTGTAACTGTATAGATACATGTAATAACAGTTCTCTTGTCCATGAATTTTAGAATGTTAATTTGAATAAAAAAAACAGTTCTTGAGTTATATTTTCTTTTTATTTTCATTTTTTGTACAGGCATGAACGAAACCAGGGATTAAAAGAAGCAAACAAAGTCTTGGATTGGCTGGTAAGCTTCATTCATATGTATTTTCCCTGTAATGCTCTAATGGTTAAATAATTTATTGTTCTTTGTTTAAATGTTGCCTTTTTTTATGCAGGGCTCGAAATTCACGGTAACCCGTTAACCAACGGTTAGTAATTTTCAACGTTTGGTTACTAAACATGTGTCCAACTAACCTGACATGGTTAGTAAAAATTTTCTTAAATATTTAAATTATGTTATGGAAATAACCTTTTTACAAGTAAATGTTAATTTTTAGGAACGATTTTTGTGTTGTTTTCTTGCATGAGATTGTTTTCTGTCTCAACAATTTGTTCTCGCCATCTTTGCGATCGAATCGAACTTTTCAGACCTTTTGAGCGCTAAGGCCCTGGAGACGAGTTTGTGTCGAATGTGGGGATCTGGACACTACAATATCGGATCCGCCATCTTCGCTTCGAAATTACTGTTTGCGAGGTTAACTGGCTGTTTGCCATTGAATTATGCAGAGTTCTTTGGATAGATTTATTAGAAAAAGGCAGGCTCCAGCTGAAAGTAACTGTGGTGAAGAAGAAGAATGTCAAGAAAAGAAACCAAAGACAACGGAAGATATGGAAGACTCGAGCTCCCGGAAGCGTTACGAAGAAAAGAGGAAACAAGAGGGCCGATCATTTCAACAGGAGTGGAAGAAAACATTTGGGTGGCTTCAGTTCGACAAGACTAAGGTCACCATGCAATTTCAACTACTTTTTAATTTGTTCTAGTGGTTATTGACAAAATGTTCAATATTTGAGATTTCAAGATTGTCAAGATTTTTTAGTTGTGAGCTTGGATACCAAACTTTATAATTTGGTTAGTAAAAAACATATTTACTAACCCAAAGGGTTAGTGATCCAAAAATTAAATTCGAGCCCTGTTTTATGGTGTGCATGAAAAATGCATTAGCAAAGAATAGTAACTACTAGATAAAGTTATGGTAAGATGATTTATCACTCAAAATCTTGTGCCAGCCTAGTGAAACATCTTGGTGGCTGTTGATTGGGTTCGAGAAGTATTTAGAAGTTGTGCAAAATTTTCATCTGATCACATACAACAAAGAAGGTCTACCAGGAAAAGAATTATGCATTTTTTCTGGAGACTGACTTTTCACAGAGGACACTTGCTGTCATTAAATTCTCAACAACATCAAAACTCTCAGAGACTCTGCACAATTTTATGATTAGTGTAACAATAGCAGTCTCAAACGCTTAATAAGGACAAACTCATCTGGACGAGGTTGACAGCTTCAAATATCTGGGCGCAATCGTCACAGATCAGAGTTCCAAGCCTGAAGTACTGTCCAGAATTGCACAGACAACAGCAGCACTAGCGAGGCTGAAGACCATCTGGAGTGATAAGTATATCTCTCTAAGCTCAAAGATCAGACTAATGCGCTCCCTAGTTATCTCTGTACTATTATACGCCTGCGAAACCTGGACATTGACAGCGGACATCCTGAAGAAATTGCAGGCCACTGAGTTGAGATGCTTTCGGAAACTGCTTGGCATCTCATACAGAGATCACGTCACTAACGATGCAGTCAGAGAAAGAATCAGGCAAGCCATTCGGCCCTATGATGATATCTTAACCACTGTAAAGAAACGCAAGTTAAAGTGGTTTGGGCATGTATCAAGATCAGTACATTACTACAAAGCCTTCGGTTGGGTCACTCTCACTGAAGTACTTGAGCACAGGCACTTTGGAGACAGCATCTTTTATCTTATCAAAGGTATCTTTCTGTTTGTGAGTCCAATTCCATTCAGCTTTCTTGTGTGTTAGACGGCACAGTGGCTCACACAGTTCTGATAGGTCTTGTAGGAACTTAGACGGATACTTCACAAGCCCAAAGAATCTCTGCCGGTCGCTCCATCTTAATTATTGCTTTGACTTTTTTAGGATCTTCTTTAAGCCCATTCCTTGTCACTACATCCCCGATAAATGACACGTCACTGCACTTTAAATGGAACTTCTCCTTGTTCAGCTTGATATTTGTTGCTCTGCAACGATCGAGGAGGTTCGTCAGATTTTGGTTGTGGTCACGGTCAGCCTTTTCATCAGTGTCCACCATTCCAATGATAAGTAGCAGCACCTAATGAAATTAATGTGTGGACAGCAAGTTCTACTAACCTCTTCTAGTCCTGCTACATGTGCTAGGTCGTCTGTGAATTCAAGCTTGGTAAGATCTCGCATACAGTAGGTTGTCTTCTGCTCTGACTACGCTGATTCGGTAGACCTCACTTATTTAGTCTGTTGAGGAACAGATGCAGAAAGTAGTTTAGCACAATAATGAAATAACAGGAGCAAGGTTGTAACCTTAGTACCTTGCTGTCTCATCAAAGAATGTGGTTTCTTCTCAGGACCAATTGAGTAGTCTCAGTTTCCTCATATAGTGACTTTACCTCAGCAGCAATTGGTTAAAGTTGAAGTGGAAGTGTGTCAGACATTTCTTACCTGCTTACGTGTTCAACACTTTCCTGCCTACGTTTTCTACCTCACCTTATTAATAAACCTCTTTATTATAGACTCGATCTTATTTTGCAAGAAAACATATTCCAGTTTAGCAAACAATTTAACCCTTGCCTTGGCAGGGCTAAATGGCAGAAAGATGACCACTGCTTTTTTTTAATCTTGTGTTCTCTTAAAGGAACTCAAGTTCAGATGAATGTAAGAGGTTTCTTGATAGGCAAATAAGTTCTGCTCTATTATATTGAATTCACAGCTGCTATGTTAGAAAAACATTTTCCATACTGCAAGAGTAGTGTAGGATATTACAAGAGACAGTACCCTACAGGAAGTTCTTTTTATAGGTCTATGACTGGAAAAAGTTTGATGTTTTTGGATCCCTAGTCAATTATGGGAAGTGTTCACTTACAATGTACAAGAGTTGGTTTCACATGGAACTTATCATTATCAGTTATGTTATGGGGAAGGGAGGTAAGAGGCTGGGTATTTTGATTTTATCAAACACAAAATGCAGGTTCCATGTTTACTACATTTAGGGGTGGGTCTAGAGGTGGGAATTTTCAGCCACAGGTGGATAAGTCACTTTTTTACCCCATTCTCAAATGCTTCATCCCACCAACCCCATACTTAATACCTGCCCAATGAAGTATCAACAGGTCCTAATGTTGATCCATTATCTTTGCAGATTTTGTACCTAAAGATGCTCTGTTCAGAAGGGAGGTCAGGTTTTCCATGGACAGAACCCTGTCACAGAACAATATTTTCACAAATTAAGGAACTAGAAAAGGAAAACAGTTGCGTCATGATATTTGGTTCAGTAAATCAACGTTTTGTAGTATTGATATTAACATTAGGAAAGAGAGGATAAGGGTAGGGATCAAATCATAAAGATCTGTAAATGTTGTATACGATGGTAGGCAGTCAAAAGGAAAATTGTATCTTTTGATTAAATGTTGGGTTCCTCATAAGAGTCAGGTAATTTTCAAAGATACGCGATAACATTGCAACCAGCTTTTATTAAACTGCTCCAAATTCAAGATGGCATTTTTCCTGAAAAATAAATTTATGGGCGTGATTTCTTAAATTTCTGTCATTTATCATTCATTATTAAATCAAGTGTCAAAAAATAAACACACTTAAGGAAATAATTCATACGGCTGGGATATTTGCTCTCATAACCTTTAATCCTGGGAGAGATTTTACATGAAATGGTACTAATTCGGAAGTCAAATGCTAGGTGCTTTCCTTTTTTATTTGCTAGCAATTTTGACTGGTTTGAGATATTTTCGTGATATTTCACTCTGAAATTTGTATCCTACCCATAAATGTCAACCATAAAAAATTTTACTATTATGGTTTATCATAGTGTCTAGGATATAAAGGATATTGGAGTCTCATAGAATGATTTATGATAGCTTCTACGTGGAAACCTGGACTTAAGTGAGTTTTTTAAGTTCTTACCTTAATTTCATTCATCAGGAATGTTACCTAAGCCCAAGTAAAATAAATAACTAGGTTTAAGGTTACCTAATAGTTCCAGGGTTGTCGCTAAGATTTCAAGTTGCCGGTTAAATATCACACAAGTAGGCGGGGATCAAACGGCTAGGGATTTCTTTTGATTCTATTTTTCTGCTATTTTCGTATGAAAGTAGCTGGGGACCACATTCATAGTAGCCGGAGGAGATCCCCAGCCCCCCGGCTCCTAATGACAGCCCAGCCAATACACTGTAAGCATTAACTATTATTATCATTATGTACTTGGGATGGATTCCTTCAATTTAGATCTTAGGCGGGGTTCTCCCTCGTCTTCAGTGCATGGTATAAAGCAACTAAAAGAAACGTGCAAAATTAAGTGCTCATTAGTATGGTCCGATTGTATTTTATAAATTGGTATTTTTTGTATAACGTCTCTTCAGCAGTTGTGCATGTGTTGCTATTATTTCTACGTATCTCCATCACAAAGGCTGGTGAAATCACATACCAAACATAATGTTTTAACTTACTGGGAAAATGGCATATCACATGGATTTTTTTTTCAGCTATAAACTGAAAATTTAAAAGAGAATAGCATTCTTTGAGTGAACAGATCTTCACCTTTTCCTGAATCAATTGTCCTCCTCTCATACTTACAGTATCTGAATGTTTGCTTTGAGATGCTAACCTGTGGGGAATGTTATCTCTGTTGCATTTCCTTTTCTCTCAGAGTACAGGGGTATCAAGACATGCATGAGAAAGGAACGATTTTATATTAAGCCTATGGAAGGGTTAAAAGCATGCAGTTTTTTCAATGATGTATAAACTGACCCAGAGCCAGTTTTGTATGGGTTAACTAGTTGCTTATATATTCATTTATAACTGGGGGTTTGACAGTGCCTGTGGGGATGGCCATTGTATTCTAACAAGTTCATCCACCCTTAAATAGGTCCCCCTGCGTGCCCTCGTACCCTGCTTGACCACAGGCTGTACGTAGGTGGGGAAGCTAAGGTAGCACTGACTTTATAGGCCACATTTATATGAAGAAAAATTGTCCCTGGAAAAAGGGTCTTTCTTCCTTTAGCGATCAATTTTATGAGAATAAAACTGACCCCTTTCCCAAAGCTAACAGCACGCGCGCAGGCTCTGATTGTCTAAAACAGCGAGCGCACATGCTTTCAAAGTGTTTGTGTGGAGAAACGTTGGCCCCTTCCATTGAAAGGGTGATCGGTTCAGGCGCGGTACCCTTCTAGCCGAACGTAAATTTATGAAACGTTGGCGCGCAGGGCGGCTAAACCCTTATACCCCGGACAACGTTTCTACATGTAAACGAGGCCTTAAATGGCTTACCGGTAATAGGTATCGTGACGTGACCTGACCTAAATATTGACTTTCCCAGTTTATACCAGGAATAAACGGCCCTAGCGTTTGAATCATTGGGGTAATCCGTTGTCCATGTACAAAGTGCATCAAAAGCTGTGCCTCTTTATTTAAGTAGTATAGTAAGGACCGAATTGACCTCTCTTTGGGAAGAATCTCATAAAGAAGGGAAGGCATACATTATGGGAATCGTGCATAGTCATGAAGACGAAAGCAACTAGCTTTTTTAAAAAAATGTAATATACGCCACTTCGAAATTTCCCACAATGCACCTTATTTGTCCCGAAAAAATTTTGCATAACCTTTGTTTTTCTTTTCTCCTGGGTATTAAAGCCGTCCCAAGAGAAATTGAAAACAGTGCATATGCAAAATTTTGGGGGGCAAATAAAGTGCATTATGGGAAATGTGGAAGTGGCGTATAGCACGAAACGCGATTTTTACTCGTCATCCGCCATATGCCCATCTCTCATAACACGCCTTGTTTGCCCCCCAACTTTTTCCATAACCCTTGCACTCTATTCCCCCTGGGTATTACAGTCGTGCCAAGAGAAATTAAAGACTGCTTATGCAAAACAAGGTCTATTATGGAAGATGTAAAAATGGCGAATTCTCCCTTTTAGCTTTTTCACTTTTCTATCGTTTACGAAAAGGACAAATTTGACAAGAATTTATAAAATATTTATAACCCTGGCTCTAATTAAAACGTGATGAAAAAAGAGGCATGTCGATAATGGTGGGTCTTACGAAAATGACATATTTTGCGAAATTGGCGAATTTGGCAAGGATTCATCAAAGGTCTGGCAAAAAATTTAAGGCCTCTTGGCTGCTGGCAATTTTAACGAAAATGGCAAGAACCCATCAAAGGTTTTGCAAAACCTCAAATGAGGTGACAAAGAGGGAAATGGCGATTATAAGAAAACGGCAAATTTTGGGCGAAAAAGGAAATTTCGGCAAAATGGCGAGTATGCGAGAAAGTCATCAAGGCTTCTGCCAAATATTCAAATAAGATGACAAAAAGGTGCATCTTGACCAATGGCGATTTTACGAAAATTACAAATTTGACAAGAATTTATAGGTTTACAAAAATTAAAACACGATGACCAAAAAGGCACGTCGATAATTGTGGGTTTTACGAAAATGACAAATTTTGCGAAATCGGCGAATTTGGATTTATCAAAGGTCTGGCAAAAATTTTAAATGAGACCACAACAGAGGCATTGTTGGTTTGCAACCACGAGACAAGGCGGCAATGTTGGGAGTCAATACAATATAATTTTTCTCAAAGAATTAACATGAAAATAGAGTTGGTTCCCGGAGGAGAGAAATGCTTTTGTTCTAGACCACCAACATGGCCGCCGTGACGTCAAGTACAAACCAGCAATATTGACAGTTGGCGATTTCACGAAATTGGCAAATTGAGAAAATGGAGGATTGGGCAAGAATCCATCAAAGGTTTGTCAAAAACTCAAATGAGGTGACAAAGAGGGGAATCTTGACAAATGGCGATTATAAGAAAATGGCAAATTTAGGCCAAAAAGGCAAAAATCGGCAAAAATGGAGAGTTCAAGGGTTTGGCCAAATGCAAATGAGATAACAAAAAGGGGCATCTTGACAAATGGCGATTTTACGAAAATGACAAATGTGGAAAAAAATTATTTCCGGTTTGGCAAAAATTAAAACAAGATGACAAAAGAGGCATGTCGATAATTGTGGGCTTTACGAAAATGACATATTTTGCGAAACCGGTGAATTTGGCAAGGATTGACACAATGAGATAACAAAACAGGCATATTGACAGTTGACGATTTTCGCAAAAATGGCAAATTTGAGAAAATGGAGAATTGATCGAGCAAGAATCCATCCATGATCTGGCATGGCCATTTTAAGGACAATGACAAATTTTGCGAAGATGGCGAATTTGATAGCAAAACTGACATTTGTCAGGTTTTTGCCCAAATGAGCAAAGCGATCGAAGATGAATTTTTGAACGCTTTTGTTCTCTATAGCAAATGCGGTCAAGTAGTAATTTCCCACCTTTTTGCTTAACGTAGTAAAAGTGACCAAAACTCATTTTTCAACAGTTTTGCCCAGGATAGTAAATCTGAGCAAAAAAATCATCATATTTGTGTTTCGCTCAGTGTAGTAAAATGAGGTCAAATTATCACTTCTTCCGTATCTTTGCTCAGTGTGGCAAATATGATCAAAATAGTCGTTTACCACTCTTTTGCTCAGGGTAGCAAAAGAGTGACAAAAGGTAAATTTCGATAAATATGGCGAGTGTGCCAAAAATTCATCAAGGGTTTGACCAAATATTCAAATGAGATGACAAAAAGGGGCATGTTGATAGCTGGCGATTTTAAGGACAATGACAAATTTTGCGAGGGTGGCGAATTTGGCAAAAAGTTATCAAAGGTTTGACAGGAATTTACTAAGAAAAAAGGGGCATCTTGACAAATGGCGATTATAACAAACATGGCAAATTGGGCAACAATTCATTTAAGGTTTGTCAAAGTTCAAATGAGATGACAAACGAGGCATGTCGATAATTGTGAGTTTTGCGAAAATGCTAAATTTGACAAGAATTTATAAAAGGATTGATAAAAATTAAAACAAGATGACGAAACAGGTCTGTCGATAATTGTGGGTTTTACAAAAATGACAAATGTTACAAAATTCGCGAATTTGGCAAGGATTCATCAAAGGTCTGGGAAAATTGCCTGTTGATAATTAGCGACAATAGCAACTTTGGGGAAAATGGCCAATTTGGCAAGAATTTATAGGTTTGGCAAAAATTAAAACAAGATGACAAAAAAGGCACGTCGATAATTGTGGGTTTAACGAAAATGACAAATTTTGCGAAATTGGCGAGTTTGGATTTATCAAAGGTCTAGCAAAAATTTTCAATGAGACCACAAAAGAGGCATTCTTGGCAAAAATTGAAACAAGATGACAAAGGAAGGATGTCGTTAATTGTGGGTTTTTACGAAAATGTCATTTTTTGCGAAATCAACAAATTTCTGGTAAAATCCTTCGAAGGTTTGGCAAAATTTCAATGTGACGACAAAAACGGGCATCTTGCACAAATAGTAATTGTAAGATAATGGCAAATTTAGGCGATACGGGTTTGGCCAAATATTCAAATGAGATGACAAAAAGTGGCATTTTGACAGCTGGCGATTTTTAGGAAAATGACAATTTTTTCAAGAAGTTATCAAAGGTTTGACAAAAATTTTAAAAAAGTTGACAAAAGAGATGAAAAAGGGGGCATCTTGACAAATGGCGATTATAAC